TTTTCATAGTCTTCATTTGTTTTAGGTGTCATGTCATATATTGGTCTTCCATGTCTACTACAGTTTGATCGGAGGTGTTTTGGAACTCCCAACGTTGTTTTTATAGTCCGACAGTCGAAGGATTTCTGTTCTTGTTTACGGTTCTGTCTTCTTGTTGAATCTTCGTCGTCCTGTTTTCAGGTTCAAGATTTGTTGTTGGGTCGGAGTCGAATCATATTGCCGGAAGGTATACCTTTTATTGGTTATATTTTATATGATGGAGAAATTTTACTTCTTTCGTTTCTGTTTAGAATTGTCGATGTTTGTTAGCTTCTGGGCATTCATCCGTTGCATGAAAATATGCAGATCTTTTCATTAGTAATCACATAGCTGACCTCACTTACCGCGATTTCTTATCGGCTTTCAACATTAATTCCTTGATTAACGACTTCAAGGAACTGATCTTCGCACACCATTTTTCCCTCCCGCACACCCTTTGATTATTTATCGCCCTTGAATTGAATAAAACTAGAGAGAATCAAAGCGACGCGAATCATTACCGTGCACAACAGCTAAAATTGATGTATTTCGCTTTAGTGAATGATCAAACATGTAATGGAACAAATAAACGCGTCATCCTACACACGAGTTCTGGGGAATGAAAGCACAAAATCCCGGCAAACGAAAATCGGAAGAATCAACGTAGATCCTTCGACGAAAACGCCCTTCCCCAAGGAGAACGTGTATCTAAAGCTCTATACAGGTTCCGGGGCGTCCATTCCCCAATGAATCATTACCCCTCTCCCCCTCCCCTCTTTCTACTAATACAGTAATACCCAGAAATTAGTAGGAATTCACAAATAGTGACTTGAAGTGGTATATGTAACTAGGGCACTCCAAAACTTGTCGAATCTTCTGCTACGGATAGCATCTTTGCACGCTTAGAAGTCCGAAGGGAGGGGTTATGACAATTAGAACGAAACCAAAATCGGGAATCAACTGACCTTTCGCTTTGTAGATCAAAAGAATATCTCCTTGAGGATTAGGAGGACCAACATGACAAAGCACATGATAACGAGTACGGTAGCACACATCACCATCCCCCCTTGTTTCTGTGTTCTCTCAGCCTGTAAGCCCCCCATCCGTTAAACATAATGTTCCACAAGAACACACACGGAAAAGAATCTGAAAACAACATACAGATGAAGTATGATGATTGACGACGTAAGAAAGGTACCTTTTGCAATTGCTTGAGGCCCTCATCGACTGTACTTGCTACATTCTGAATGTTGTAGTCTATCCTATCAACAATAGTTCCCTGTTTAAGAAACGATATTTAGTTAATGGCTGATTTTCCGTTGAAATTCATGTCTCCACAGGACATGAATACTAACCTGGTCTATCACTAGTACTGACAAATCCTTCATAATCTGAGCAAGCTCATTCACAGACTCCACAACCTATTGGAAAGAGAAACGAGTATTTGTCAATTGCGAAAGAAGCATGATCAAACACCAGTCAATTTAGAAACAACGAAAAGATCTTCACTTGCCTGTTGGATCTCTCTTTCCCTTTCTGCTGTGAATGCCTCGTTTTTCTTTATCTTGGCCATCTGACGCTCATTAAACATCTGACAGGATACGTGTATTATCATCATATTACGATCATCTATGGTAAAAAAATGTCTTAAAATTTGATCACTCAACAACACTACAAATACACTGTATAGGGAATTTAGTGCACTCATATTTGTCGTGATTGACAAGATCTTGAGAAAATGTTTATCAACTGGAGAAAGCTTACCATGTCATCCAAATCATCACCGTCCATTCTCGATGTACTTCCATTTAGGTTCATCTCTAAATCATCCCCATCTTGACCCTGTATCACCAAAAATGAGAAACAAAAGAAATGTTTGAAAATATATAACTATAAGTTTAACTAGTTTCCAATTACATGTCAGATCACACATTTACCCTCGGTATACAAACTGAACGCGGAAACACGATTCCAAGTTCCAAAAAGTATATGGAAATATTACGTATGAACTAGATTATCAAGCCAGAGTAACAACAGAATGTTGAAACAAAGGTATGATGTATAACAATCCATTGACTTGAATGGCTACAAGGTAAAATTCTTTTCGCACCTCTGTTTGCTGCCTGAGTCGCTTCAAATAAGTTGATTGTTTCTTGCGAAGGTCCATTGACAGGGTCTGAAGGTCAGTGGCAAGAGAGCGCTGCAAAAGAAACATGCAGACATTAGCACTGCTCTTTGGGATTACTTGAATTATAGATAACGCCCCACTCAAGAGTGCAACACTCTGGAATAAACAAGACTAAGGAAAACCTAATCATTTACTGTGCTGCCAAAAATATTTAGTGGCTTCTAAGTTCTAACTCTTACCTGCACATTTTTTCTAACATTTGAATCTTCAGAAGGCCCAGCTGCAGAAAGCCTCTGTAGTCTCTTCTCGGATTTCCTTATCAAATTAGTTATCTCTTGCGTAAGACTCTCAATCAAACGTTGATCTTCTTTACCGTCTCCAAAAGAAGGCATTAAAGCTTTTGCATGAGCCTTAGTCAGCTCAGCCATTTTTACCCGTGCACGCTGCACGTTTGCTGCTACCTCTTCCGAAAGATCCACCCATGCTGGCGGTAGACCAACAGTAAGTGCACCCCGACTGCAGCAATAAAAACAAAATGACTCTCACACTACAGAAATAAATTTAAAAAAAATCCGTTCTTGCACCTCGATGCATCGCTTTTTTCTGTGCATACTAGTAAGAATAATAAAGGATAATGCTCCTCTGAAACCAAATTCAACCCCCAATTTCTTGCAACAAATTTCAGTAATTACGAACGTCTCATACTCACTAAAAGGCTTTCAGTGACCTTCTTGCATAGCAGGGTCCAAGGAGAACCAAACCATTTCAGGGACTCACATTGCAAACATATTAGAACTAATTCAAATACGAAAACCCACAAATCGTAATGCTCCTATCCAATGAATCATCTTCGTGGACCGTCGCTTATAAAATCCTAAAAGTTCATCACTGCAAGCTCCGAATTGTGCATTTGCATTGCACCTAGTGATCATCCAACCGATATCGAATGCCTAAACTACAGTATCTCTGATCTAATAAACAACAATCCAGCCTTCAATTTTGCTATCTAAATATCACAATTCAGTGTGACCTAATCTGCATTCAGCACACTTCCAGTAAAAGACTTCTTCTTTCTCCACTATCTAAACCTTTCGTTTCTTTTCTGCTATTGATCTATGTTTTTCTCTGAACTTTTAACTTCATTAAATCTTAAACACTTCCATTAAAGCTTAAATTAAACATAAAATTTCCATTAACATACACAGAAGAGGAGAGAGGAGAGAGAGAGAGAGAGAGACCTTGAATTACCGGGATCTTCAGTACTGAGCGGAGCATAATTCCGATTGGGATTCAAAAGCGAAGTGCTGACCAATTCAATGACCGGGCCGCCACCGGCGCCGGAGCTCGAAGCGGAGGAGCTCGTGGGAGCGCGGACGCTCTTCAACGCATCCCTATACTTTCTGTAAACCAAGGTCCGATTCCTCGTCGCCATGGAAACGGAGCTCCTGATTCAGATTCGCACTGGACAATCACAAAATCTATGGATCCAACGGACAATCAGATACGTTGGTTTCGCGCCTTGTCATGCGAAATGATGAGGGAAATGAACTGGTAAACTGGAAGGATTATTCTTCTTCCGGTGGCGGCTGAGACGGGGGTCACGTGATCGGATATCCGGGGAGGGGGGGTGGCGGGGACGGCGAGTCACGTGGCCCCGGCGAATTTGGAATTTATAATTTTTTGGTTGAGAGTTTGGAGAGGAATTGGTAACTTTGTAATTTAAGGCTTCTTCGTCAGTTGGTTTGTAAGTTCGCCGGTGTTGTTTACGACCGCGGTATCTTCTTCCGGTGCGGGTTTTTTATTTTTGAGCCTATTGGGCCTTGGGCCTGAGGAATTAAAGAGTTTGTTCCATTTGGTCAAAGTCAATTTACATATTTATCCCCTATATTTTTGAGATGTTTCACTTTGGTTCTTAAACAAGGAGGGTTTATGTAATGAAGTCAATAACTAAAGGGTTATGTAGCTGAAGGGGTTTTCAAACATTATTTTAGAGAGGGATTTACTTCAGATTATTTTTGCATTAAATTTGTCCTATATGGATTTGTCTCTTATCGAACCAATTATAGAGGAAGCAAAGTTCTTGATGCAAGTGATCGCTGAAGTTTCTGTTGTACATGTCCTCCGCCAAGCAAACTCGGTTGCTCATAGACTTGCTAGATTTGCCCTCCATTCAGGAGGTGATTGTACTTGGTTTTATGAACCTTCTACTATTATTTAGTGATCTTCTTGAGAAGGACCTCTCCATCCCTTACACTATTTAGCATGTCTAGGTTTGAAATGAAATATATTGCCTTTTCTTAAAAATAAAAATAGCTAAAGAGTACAGCTATTAAAACACCGTTTTTTACCTCATATGCACCTTCATTAATTTTTGTCTGTTGATTTTGTTCAATTTATTAGATTTGACAATCGAAAATTAAAAAAAATGTAATAAATAAAAATAAATATGTAAATAGCACTAACCTTGCTTAAAACTTCAAGAAAAGTTGAGAGTTTGCGAAAGGTATTTCGTATAAACACTAAGTAAAGAGTCCTGAGAGGACCAAAGTGGAACAACCCACAGAAATTCAAAGGCAAATTCGTAATTAAATTTGTTGTGAGTCTATGGTATAACGACACGTGTCAAATCACGAAAACTACCAAAGTGAGAGTGACTCTGGAAGCACAGTTGAGCGAGGGAGAGAGTCGCAACAAACAGGGAGCTGTAAAACGGTGAGTACCAGCAGCCACTGAGAGAAGCAGGAGAGAGAAAGAAAGAGAAACAGGAAGAGAGAGAGAGGCTTTGTCTCTCTCTTTCTCTCTCTTCTTTCTCTCTCCTCTGTGTGTCACTGTTATTTCATTTTATTGGCCATTTGTCATATTCACCACACATTTCTACCTGGAATAAATTCCATTTTTTCCTCCCCAACAAATAAATTATAAAAAAAAATACAGAAAATATACAGCGTAGAGAGAGAGAGACATAGATAATAAACTGGTAGGAGAGATTAAATACCTCCTCCTTCCTCCTCTCCTCCTCTTCCTCCTTCCTCTTTCTACACAATCACCACCACTGCCATCGCCATCGCCATCGCCACCGTCGCCGCCTTCGTCAACCATCGTCAGCCTCGGATCCTCCAGCTCAACCAACCCCAAAAGCCGGTTCCTGTTTGTCCGTATCAATAAAATCCCATTCCCAAATTCCCAATTATTCGGGTTTCTGAATCTGAGAGATCGGACCCAAAGGCAAATCGCACCGCAAAGACCTTACCTTTTCGTTTAATTTCGTAAAGGGTAGCTGGCTATGGACGGTGATTCCTGGAGCGCTCGTCTTTCTTCTGCCTCTCGGCGTTATCAATCCGCCCTTCGATCTCGATCTGGTTAGCTCACATTCATTTCTTTCCCGTTTTGATCATTAATTGTTGTTGATTTTTGTGTAATGCCTTTTTTGGTAGGGAAACAAAAAGGAAATTGATTTTTTTTTTTGCTCTGAATTTTTTATTTATTATTTTTTTTCGTTCTGGGTTTTGGTTTTAATCTGAAGAATATATTCTAATTTTTTTGGTTTTAATCTGAAGAATGTAAATGGTAGACGAGAGAAATTAGAAAGCTTGATTCTTTTTCTTTTCCAATAATTGTATTATTAATGGTTGGAAAGATTACCATTTTCCAAAGTTTTATGACCCACGAAAATAAAGTTAGTGATGATAACATTTCAGCAAGTTGAGCTGAATCCAACTACTTTGGGTGTCATTATTTCTTTCTCGAGACTTTTTGACATCAGAATTTTGGGTTTTCAATGGTGAAACCCCAATTAATTAAAGTTCTTCAATTTTATGGATCTTCCACGTATTGAAACATGGGATTGTGCAATGTAGACATGCTCATGGGGTTTGAAGAAATTGATGGGGATGATGATATAAGGGAGGAATTTCCATGCCCGTTCTGCTCCGAATACTTTGACATTGTAGGATTGTGCTGCCACATTGATGAAGAGCACCCGGTGGAGGCGAAGAATGGGGTATGAATCCTTTTTCATATCTATCAGTACCTAGTTTCTCTTAGTTTCATCCTGAAAGCGAGTACGTTTTAATTGTTTGGTGTATATAGATTGAAATTATTATGCGACTTGATGTTTGTATTAAACTTTTCTTGAGAATCTATTGCATGCGTTGTTTTATAAAGAAATATGTGAAAGCATTATACACCACTGAGCAAGTATCGAAACCAATAAAGCCATTAAACCACGTTCTACTAGTCCGAGCGTCTAATCAGAAGTTAACCCTAATTGATACCAGTTCATACCTGCAGAAGTACTCATCATGAATGCGTTCATACTTTAATCTTCTCTTCTCTCAGTTCCTTACAGGTCTTGCTCTCAATAGGACGAGCGTATATTGAACACGCTAACTTGAGAAGTGAGGCCAAAGACGTGTATATGTTTGTCCAATTACCTGCAATATCAAAACACATATACACCAAATATAGTTTGGTCTCACTCACATTAGGAGTAAACTCTCAGTATGTTCATATCCAAGCATCATTTAGTAGGGAATACTGACAAGACAACCTTTAGTCAATCATATTTTACAAAATGCTTAAATTCAAAGTCATTTGTTTATGAATATCAAGAGAATCTCGTCAATCCCAGCTTCTTAAACAGTTGAGATTTTATCCTTTGAAGAATTGATTTCAATGCTTTCTTGTTGAAATATGAGGTTGTAATGTGGTGGTTGGAGAAGTGGAAATTAGGTAGTTGGTCAAGTTATATGAACTTGCTAAGATGTTGCATTTGTTAGATGTTAGATTTCTCTTATTTTAATGAGGATGGGTTACTGGAGGTTAATCTTACTAAAAAAGAACGTTGTTTATCTGCAGGTATGTCCGGTTTGTGCAATGAGGGTGGGGGTTGATATGGTTGCGCACATTACCCTACAACATGGAAGTATATTCAAGATATCCTTTTCTGTTGATTTGTCATCTGTTGCAGATGTTATGTGTTATCTTTTTTCTGTCATAATCAACTTTGTCGTTCAATGCAAATTTGTTAGTATTCCACATGCCCATCTCTTTCTAAAAAACTTTCCTATGGGGATCTGATGTATATTGTAATGGTATGATCTGAGTCCTTAATGGTTTAAACTAGTAATTTACCATTTGTTGCATGAAAACATACTCCATATTCCCACAATTCTGATTGAACGTTACGAGGTCTCATAAGGCAGTTTTCTTTTGGTTCATCATACCCTTGAGATTTATTATACATTTTACCAAAGATTGATCAGATTGAAGATTTCTCCCAATGCTTGAGTTCCTTAACTAGTAATTACATGCAACGCAAGAGGAAGACAAGGAAAAGTGGAGCTCATTCAACTCTATCTTTGTTGAGGAAAGAGCTGCGGGAAGGAAATTTGCACTCTCTTTTTGGGGGCTCTTCCTGTTTACTTTCCTCATCCAATGCAGCGCCTGATCCATTGTTGTCGCAATTTATTTTGCCTATGGCGGATGATTTTGTTAGTATGCCACCCTTCTCAACTGAAGCAAGCTCAGCCAAGAAAAGTTCAGATGAGAGAGTATCAGAACGGTACGTTATTTAATCTTAAACTCCTTTTGATGGGACACCTAAAACCTATCTCCCTAGCTTGCTCTAATTCTGACCTTGTAACCCTTGGTCAAGCTGAATGCCTAACCGGTTATGATTTCTTGCTAAATCTCATTATATGTATAAGAAGTTTGGACAAGGATTATGAGTGTTGGTTGCGAATTGCGATGGATGCTTTTGCAATTTCATACACTAGTCATGCATGAGTGCATGGAATATGTTGCAGAAACAAATAAAAAGGAACTTTGACTAATCACTTAAGAGGGCACTGCACACAACTCTGGTACGAGAACATGCTCAATCTTTTTTCATGAATACTATATCATGCTTAACTACACGGCAGAAAGAACGATAAAACTTTATACAATTGTTGTCGATGCTCATTATTGTCAAATTTCTACAAACGAGCAAGCTTTTTTGCCTTTCTGTTGCATATGAAACCCGGTCTGTGTTCTTTAATTTCATTATTTTCCTCTCAGCATGCTTCGTAGGTCTGACACGCGTTTGTTTGGTCACAGAAACGTGCAGTCACCGCCTTTGTCCATCAAGGATAAGGAAGAGAAGACGAAAAGATGCGCGTTTGTTCAGGGGATGTTGTTGTCCACCATTCTTGACGACGGTTTATGAATTTCCCAATGGCGCCGCTGCCGGAGTGAAAGTTTTCACAACCAAGAGCGAGCCCCTTTGCAGTCTGTGGTTGGTTTGTAGCTAAGAGTATTCCCAATGGTTATTGAGCACTAGGAGTGTGTGGAATAAGTTGTTGCAGGAATTTGAGTGTAATTATTTGGCATGTGAACTTTAGTTTATAGGCCTCAACAAAACTCTCGTCATCATCTGTTATTTTCAGGTCGATATTTAGCTCTTTTTAAAAGAAAAGAAAAAGAAAAAAGAAAATAATTTCTTTTCATTCAATGCTTCTCCCTCAAACCCCTTTAGCACTTTGTACGGATCTTTGTATGTTAGGTCAGGTGGTCCAGACAGTGTGCTCGCCGCTCGCACCCAGTTCTTATTCCGAAAAGTCCCTTTTGAGTGAATGGTAAGAAAAGTTGGAGGTCCAATATATCTAACATGTGACCACGCTAAATCGCAGAAACATAATTTGGTCCTCTGTTTCGGTGAGATGCAGTCAGTCTCCACCCACCCACCAACTAGAAAACAAATGGCCCTTTAAATATTTTTGAATTGGGAAAAGGTCATGGGTGGGTGTGAAGCATAATTGAAGGATATCAGACCAGACATATGGAGCCAGTTCCTTCGTATTCAAACGGTTGTTGAAGAAAAAGGACCCCGGAGAAAGAGCCATGTTTGTCGCTTGTTATCTGCAAATTACAGTTTGACACATACATATATTTATTTAACACGTCAAATTGTAATCCGTCGGTAAGAATAAACATTTCCTTGCACACAAAGAGCCAAGCATCTTTCGTAATTGGAAATATTAACTTTGCCCCCAAAAAGAAACGTTTCACATGTAACGAGCCAAGTATTTTTAGCCGTCTCAAATTGTACAAAGATCAGTGGGACTGACATGTGCTATTGTACTGGAAAGGTGGTGTAGTGGAGGGGCTGGGTCGGATGACAAAGAAAGGGCAAACACAAAAAGGCAAAGAAAAGGCTGGTTGGTGGTATGTGAGTGGTCCATTACCACAAGCATCATTCTTCCCAAATAGTAAAGAACAAGACTTGGCTGCTGAAAATTCAGCAGCCACTCCTGCTTACATCCAATCCCAGTAATCAAAACTTGCTTACATCCAATCCCAGTAATCAAAACTTGGACACGTGTCCACACAGGATTGGATATAAGCAGGAGAGGCTGCTGAATTGTTCAGCAGCCAAGTTAATTCCAATAGTAAATGCATAAGTAACTTCCGGTAAAAAAAAACAAAGGGTGGACAAAGAAACAACCGTTAAGAAAACATCAAAGAAAAGCAGAGACAGACAGAATAATCACAGCCAATGAGCAAAAATGGAAAGTGATAAATACGTAGCAATTTTCATATATTTGAATTAGCCTAATCTAACAAATTAATGTAAAAATGGGATTAAATAAGCTAAACAAAATATGGTCTAAATTTCCTAACCAAAACAGGATCGACGGGGGAGGGGAAACAGCTAAACGACACGTGTTGCAACGAGAATCCTCGATAACTAGAGACGTAAACTCAACCACTGCGGGAGTTTTGTATCGAAGATCCTCTTTACAACTTCTCCTACAAAAGATTCGAAACAAGATGGACAATGGCCTCTCATCAGACTTGTCATTCCACCCACCGTTAATTCAATGTGGGCGCAGGTTGAGGGAGGAGGCACGGGAACTACCTCACAGCTTCTGTGCTCACGTCCGCACGCAGCCAAGACAGTGTGCATAGATCTCCTTGCAATGTCCTTGAAAGTGTCTTTGTCTGAAACACAAAGATACAAGGAGTTAGAACATTCCAATTGGCAGTGTAGAATCATAATTCATAAGAATAAGCGGGCGGATTCAGATCTAAGGCATTTTCATATATCAATGTGGAAATAAGTATACAAATAAGTTGAAAGCTTCGCATACCTAGATCAACGTCTCGGGACAAATTATCCAAGTGGTTTCTGACCATCACTTTCAGTTGTTCCTTTGCTAGCTGAAAAACGCCCTGTTCCGTAGCAGTATTAGGGGACACACCAGCATCAGATCCACTAATATTTGGTCTACCGCTGAAGTGATGGAATTGTCCGGAATTTGGTACTGAATTCATTCCGGTAAGTACAGGCCATAATGCTCCATTTTGAGATCTATCAGCAGATGTTGTAGTTGGATCCTCGATTGCTTGCCTTCTCTGAGGGGTTGATGCTGATGTATTTAAGAAATCAGTACTCAAGTTATCTGGCACTAGTGCTAAAGGATTGTTTTGTAATCTCTCCTCAAAGAATGTGTGGTAAGATGCCTCCATCTCGTCTGTCCTGGTATGTTGGACTGTCATCTCCCTCGTCTGAGCAGCTTGAGAGTGAGAGAAATCATTACTCAAATTATCAGATGAGTTCCTCTCATTTATACTGGCCATATAACTCGTCCTATTAGAATTAAGGAGTTGTTGAATATAACGCTGTATTAAGCGTCTCCCTGATAGAGTTGGTGCTCCTGCCCCAGATACCGGGGAAGGTGCTTGAAAGCCTCCAACAGGAAATCGAGGGGGTAATCCTTGAGTAAATTGTGGACGAGGTGAGGACACCACATTAAGGTCTATTCCTTCGTCAAAATGTACAGTAGGTGATGGTCTATTCGACAAAATGTTGTTTGTAGTTCTTTGATCAGACAACCGACCCTGAGCCTGTGAACTTGAGGATCCCATAGCCACAGGTCTACAACCCTCACAGTACCAATTACCTTCAGGTACTTCTCGGCCAAGACCAACACAAAAGGTGTGAGCAGGTGAATCACATAGATCACACAGTAACATGAGGCCATCTTCCCCTCCTTCGTGGCATTCTGTACATATCACATTCTCGTAAGGGTCAAGATAACTCCTGAGTTCTTCTTCTGTCGGCTGATATACCTGCATAAAGAAATAAACCCATTTGAACAAACAAACAAAAAAATGAAGCAGCAAACGGAATGCAAGATAATGCATGTCACAAGTAACACGATAAGGTACCTGATCACGCTCAGAGACCTGTATCACCACTTCTCTCAAATCAATTCCTGTCGTACATCTTGCAGGCTTACTAATTGTCTTAAATCTCTGCTTGCACAAAGGGCAACGAGATTCCACTTTTCCCCATTCCATGATGCAGGCAAAACAAAAATAATGAGTGCAACAATCTAGTGTTCCCCTCACTCTTCTTTTATCTTCCTCGGAGAGACAAATGCCACAGACCTGCTTTACAACCTCAACCTTCACTTGCTCAATCTTCTCTTTGCCCTTCCTTCTAGGAGGGTTTCTTGGCTGTTGTACAGGTGTATCCTCCTGAATGCTAGCAGGCACTGATGAACTTCGCAAATTAGTTTCCAATCTTTCACACAACTCCTTGGCTTCTCGTACTTGCTCTCTCTCTTCCTCGGAGATGGTGTAGTCATAATCAGATGCTCCAGAAGACACAAAATCTGAATCTGACGGTATAGACATTCTCCTCCTTTTCCTAACCGTTTTTTTCTCATTCGTTACTCTCACGGGCACAATACTATCCATGAAATCGCTATCACTTTCAATATCATCGTCACTTCTTGCTTTCCTCCTCGATGCCTGACTTGTTCTACCTTTCTTTCTCAAAGGCTTCTTTGAAGCCAAAGGTTTTCTCCTTTTTACACCTCTTACAGGACGACCCTTTTTCTTCAAGCACCGCTTGCCCACTTTCCCATCAGCTTTCTTCTTTTTCACCACTGGTTTTTCTTCCACGTCAGAAAATTCATCTTCATCTGGTGTGAATTCCTCATCGTCATCATCATCTTCATCGTTATAATCCTGATCCTCCACCTCACGATATGTAATCTTTCTCCTCTTTCTTGACGGTTTAACCCCATTTTTCGGCCGGCCAGAAAAACCATTTTGGACCTTTGACCTAATTCCCTTCCTAACCGGTTTCACTTCCTCTTCATCTTCTTCCTCCTCCTCCTCCTCATCCACAATAAAACCATCAGCATCCCTTTTCGCTCTTGATCGAGTTTTCTTCCTCACCTTTTTCACTTCGTCCTCCTCTTCCTCCTCCTCATCCACAAAACTCCCAAAGCTCTCTTCCGACGCATCTCCATCCAAAGAAGAACAGTAATCCTCCTCTAAATCCTCAGAAACTTCATTTTCTTCACCCGAAATCACATAATCCTCATCCGAATCATCGGAACCCTGATACTTTGACGGAACCCTTGTCTTGATTTTTCGCTTGGAACTAACCTTCCCTCCCTTTACCATCTGTTCCTTGCACCAAAAAGAAACCCAAAAATCCACATATTAATTCAAATTTCAGAATCCCAAATCCAGCTCAAACAAATCAAATTACAATCTTTCCTCAATATTTTTTCTATTTCCCATCACCGATCTGCTGTTTTCGGCATTAAAACTAAAAATAAATAATAAAAAAACCAGGATTCGCTTTCCCAAAAATTTATTCAATTACACCAAAATCCATGACCAAAAACCCACCAAGAATCTCCATTTTAAAAATCTCTCCCCTCTCCACCTTCTATTTTCCATTTTTTCAGCTAACTTTATCCAAATTACCAATAAAAATCCAAACAGATAACAATTCCCCAATTCAAGAATCAAATCCCTAGAAAAAAAATATCAACAACATCCCACCCCAAAAACCCAGAAATTCAAATTCAAACCAGAGCCAGATAAAATATATATTTCTTACACCAAATTCCAATACAAATACACAGATAAAAAATCCCTACATGTACAAACACAAAATACAGAAGAAAAAAAAAATTCTAGAGAGAGAAAGAGAGAGAAGAGAGAGAGATAGAGATGCGTGGTGGGTACCTGAGAGAGAAAGCGAGCACCAGAAACAATGGAAAATGGTACCAAAATTTTCTCCTTTTTTTCTTTTATTTGCGTTTTTATATTTTTCTTTTTTATATGAATTTCGCGTTATTTGTTTTTATAATGCTCTCGAGAGGAGAGGAGAGAGAGAGAGAGAGAGTAAAAAAAAACGTTGCTTCTTACGGCGTACGCAAGTTGGAGTCCCAGTTAGATGTTTCCATTTATGGAATGACGGAATTGCCCTTGCGCTTTCCGGGGCCGTCATTCGTACCGACATGGATGGATTTTGTAGGCGTTCGGTATATTTCGATTCACTGCGTGGGACGGATTTTAAAGATTTGATTGGCTTTTAACCCAAAAAAGAACGTCCCCCCATAGGACTTACTTTTTCGGATCAGATTTATTTTATTTTATTTTATAGTATCGTTGTTATCACTCTAAAATTATCATTTTATA